ACATTAAATATTTTTGAATATATCTATTTTACTATCACAATTTTATTTATTGAATTGTCTATTTTTGTTGTTTATGTAAAAAATGTTATTTTTGTGTTGATAAGCCTGAGTGGTCAAAAAAACGTTTGTCATAATCATGTCTTGTGATTATTTGACAGGAGTTTCACTTTAACTGTAACTGTATTTTATTTAGTTATAATGCAAATACATATTAAACCAAGCTTTAGAATAATTATAATTTTAAACCAAGATTTAGAATAATTATCATTTTGATCCATATGGTAATGTGTGACTGGACCTCGTCACTTTAAGTTGAACATATTGGGCCCTGAGGTCAAAAAGGTTAAGAACCCTCTGGTTTCTTCTTCGTCATTGGAATTTCAGCGCTTTGCCATCTGGTGGATTCATGACTTAACCGCAGCAAGGAAAGCGTGTTTCTCACACTTCCAGTGACACACTTCCAATAAATTACAACTAAAAAAATTTCAGAAGAATTTTGAATTATACAAATACAGTTCTTCTGACAGCAAGTCATCATCCTCCATCATCTGCTTCTACCTCCTCTTTGGCCTTCCTCATCATTTGGGCTGTATCTCTATCCTCTGGATGTGTCCAAACCATCTCTCTAACTTTATCTCCCAGTTGTTCAACCCATGCCGTACCTCTGATAGTGTCATTCCTAATCTTTGACTCTAAATAATTAAAGTTCTCCTCAATAAGATGCAGAACCGTCTGAGGTTTACCAATGTTTATTTTTACGTCTAGAGTTTTATGTAAGACAGAAGTTCAAAAATCCCTCCACTTCCAGTTTTTAAACAAGAGATTGACACATGAAAGGGTTTGAACATAACTTTATTTTGTACAGTATTTCCTCTGAACAACTTTAAATTCAGTACAATGTCTTTACATTTTTTTAAATAATGTTGCAGTTTCCTGTAAGAATTTTGTTTTTTTTTTCTCTCCATGTTTATGCTTGTGTGTCATGTTCAGCTGAAGAGTATTTAGTTTCTCGTCACTCATTCATACCGTCGGTAAAGTCAAGTCACAGTTCAAATGTGGGTAAACTGAAGCGAACGAGACGTCGTTAGGAAAAAAGGAAAAATAAATAGAAATGAGAAGACCGGACAGGAGAACGCGTCAGGACTGGTTAATGAGGACAGGAAAAGGGATTAAAATGTTTGTAACATAAATTTAGTCAGACTTTAGATTTCGATGAAGACACCGACAGCGTCAAGGACGGAAGACAAGTTCGATTTGAGACATTTAGATGTTTACTCCCCCCATAGATTACCAGGTCCCCCCACCTTTCAGCCCGATTGGGACAAACCTGTAATCTAATGATTATACTCCACCGTTAAAAAAAAAGAAAAAAGCCCAGGATCTTCTGATCAGGAAAAAGAAAAGCAGAAAAGGCTTCTCCACCTCTGTTTTATTTCTTCTTCTGTTAAATCAATTTATCCTGTGACAACTTCTACTGAGGCTTTCTCCACTTCTTAGAAGTGATTAGATTTGTATCTGAATCCCTGTCAATCAGAATATCAGAACATACATATTTAAATTCTAATACTTTTTAATGTAAATCACTGAACTACTTCTGAATCCCAGATTTTAAACTTTGAAAAACAAAAACAAACAAAAAGTCAAGCGGATGCCTCAGACTCTCCGCCCGCTGGTTTGAGAGCAGTTGTTGGATCTTTTAATCGGAGCGGCTGCTTTAAAAACAATAATAATAATAATAATTAATCGCAGTCTTTCGAAAACTCTGAACAAAAATGCGGCTTCTTGCTTAAATTACACAAAGTCATTTCCTGATCAATAAATACCAATTTCACAATCTGCTGTAAAGTTAGCGTGAAGTCGATCATCTCGACCAGCCTTTGGTAAACTTGATGAAAAGTGTCTGCATTAGTATCACGATTGTTGCTAATATTTTCATATTTACATTATGTGCCACAATTAAGTGGATATTCAGGCCATGTTAAAGTGAGTCTCTGTGGAGAGGTTATAGAACTAGTATCTTACCTGCTGTAGATAGCTTTTTTAACAAGCTAACCAAAGTGGAGCGCTGCCATGAAACTTAGCACTTCATCTCAAGAGTTAGTTCATAAACTTTTGAATTTTTCAGTAGAAATAACGACAAAGCCAAATCGATGGTATAATAAAAGGTTTTAGAAGTATTTGCATGGATCATTTTAAATATCGGTTGGTCATTAGCTTTTAGATTGGTTTAAGCAAGTCGCTACCATTTAAAATCAATCCAGATGCTCAAAAATTTTAAGTGATTTAGCAAATGCTACTATTTAAAACTGTATACCAGTCAGTTTTATATTTTGTGGTTATTTCTGCAGAAATACTTTGAACCTCCTGCTAGATTTGTCTTCAGGCTACAGCCGATGTTTATCCTGTAATAACCCCACATTTCTATGTAAATAACTAAAAAGTCTATGACACTATGTTCACATAAACTATGAAATTTAAGACAAAAGCAGTTTTAAGACAACAGCAAACCACTTTGTTCTTGGCTCTGTTGAGACTAGCCGTTAGTTCATTTGTCCCGTCTGTTCAAACATCTACATACAACAGGTAAGATACTGACCCTTCGTAATGTCTCCACAGGAGCCCGCTTTAATATAACCCCCCAAAAAATTATCTTTGTGCCTCTTCTTGTCAGCACAGGCTTTTTTTCCTTTTTTTTGACTGCAGACCTCGACAAAGGAACAGGAAATAGAAATAAGTTTATTTACAGCACGAAACCAGTTCTGATTCCAGTTGCAGCTTCGCTATGCACAGTGAAAACCATAAAAAGAGTCAACGCAGGGATTGTAATATTATTATAAACAAAAGTAGCTGAAAAGACCGTTTTTTTAAAATTTCCCCCAATAAATTCACCACCCCTCCCCCAACCCCAACGTGATAGACTGTCATTTAGGTGACCCCCTGAAAAGAATGCCACTTTCATAAGAAACCATGGCAAATAATGTAACTTTAAAGATAAGAAAAATAGAGCAGCAATGTTTTGCACAAAACATGTGCACATTCAAGTAAATAAAGATATAAAGAGATATTCTATAAGTCAAAGACAGAAGCATAAGATCTTCCAGTCTTTGTTGGTCAGATTGGCACTTTAGTGAGCAGGAGTGCATTTTTATTTTAAGAAATATAAATAGTTTTCCTTGTCGATGAAATGTGAGATTATATATATATTCTGGCATTGTTTGTAGGCCAAGCAAAGAACTTGTCATTAAATCAAAGACTTCAGTTCTAAATGCTGCTCTCTGTTAGGTAGAGGTAAATTGTTGTTATTTTTTTATGATTCTTGCTAATTCATGATTCGACATGTGGTGTCAGCTGGGAGCACGTGTTCTGTGGATACCATCAAACCTGGGATACAAAGCGAGAACACGGATTTCATCAGATAATGCCTTAAAATACAAGTAGCAGCACCTTATTTCTACTTAATTTAAGGAATAGTTTGGCCTAACTGAATGGGTTTCTGTGTCCAAAATATGTAGATAGCTTCTAGAAAAGACTCAATTTAAGCTAACGGCTAATCGAAAAGTAGGCAAAGTGGATCGCCTCTTAAAATCAATCCATTGTCAGACATTTTACATAAACCTTTATGCTTCAATCGATTTCTCAATACATAATTATTACATCCGTAAATAGTAAATAGAAAAGCAGCAGCTAGTTGTAGCACACTTGTGGGGTCAGGTCTGGTAGGAATCTCCGAATGTTTGTGCCGTTTGAGGAACCTGAAACTATAAGGGTTTAAATTATTGAGTTTACGTAAATTTAATGCGAAATTAGATTGAAGTTTTAAGACGGCAGCATCTCATCAGTGTTGGACGATGAGACTAGGTGTTAGCTAGTTAGCAATAAACTTTCCAAACTGAGAAACCATCTAAAAGATAAACTTTCACACAGAAACCCACGTAGATATGGCTGAACATTGCCTTTAACATGCTCAAGTCCTTTATAAATAACGTACATCTAGTACAGAACACTTAATGAAATAAATTTTCTAAGATTTAAAAACAAAGAATGTTTGTTCACATTTTCTTGGATTTGCGGCAGTAATCCACAGAACAGTCTCCCGGACTCTGATTAGAACGTAGTCTGGTTAGAGTCAATCGACCTCTTCCTCACATAGCGCCTGTCAGTCAATCACACAACCAAGGTTCTACTTCAACCATAAAAACCTCGACTCCGACCCAAAACTCGGCTTTGTTCTGGGGCAAAGCCCGATCCCCAGTCAGGGTTCGACCATTGTTAAGTCCTGCGGCTCGAAACAAAGAAAAGTTTCCATAACTTGTTTTAGACTTCAAAAAACCCGTCTCGTTATGTCAATTAAAAAGAATTAAATAAAAATACAACAGAACCAGGACCATTTTAAGAAAAAATACTTGAAAATTAAAGATTTTTTTTATCACATTCTACTTAATATAAACAAAAATCAAACATTTGTTATTTTTTATGGAAACTAATATTTGCTTCCAACCACTGATCTGTGGGAGGTGTGTGCACAGTGTCTGCTGGTGTTGTATGCAAGTGTGCATAAAGATAGAGATTTATATATTAATGCAAATACATCATAATTCAAATATACTCTGTTGATGCTTTGATTCTTTTGTCGCCACTTCTCGGAGCCTCCTTTTAAACTCGGATGTTCTGAGACCCACGAGGAAACACTAAAGCAGTGGGTTTTCCTTAAATGGGCTGAGAAAAGGCTATTTACAGAAAGAACCACCAAACGTCTCACAGCTGTCCCATGCAAAAATCATTAGCGGTTGTTGTTTCCATTCTTCAAAGACATAGTGATATTTAACGCCGTAGGCTATTTAACAAGTCTACCACTACAGAAAACACCACCGTGTTCACTACACTATCACTACTCACATCACCGAAAAGTCACTGCATTTATGGGCCGGCTGCTTTCAACCCCAAACACGATTGTGTTTTGTTTGTCTCTCTGCCAGCTGCTTTTGATTGGTCAGGAATACCCAGTGACTGCATGGAGGGGATAACACAAAAAACAGCTCCCAGATCCAATTGGGGTGCAGCTACCCAGCAGAGCCTCATCATTACCAGAGAAATCCAAACACTAGAAATGCTGCTTCTTTTGAAATTTCCATTACGTCAAATGGGTGAATCCAACAAACGCAGGCAAATATAAAAGTCTGGTTTGCTACTGCAGCTGGCTCTGCTCCAGTCATAAATCCCCCAAAACGCCTTGCTTCAGATATCACTTCATAAATCAAACGCTTTGTTAGTTTAAACCACAGCAAACGATGAAGGCTGATTATCTAAAACTAGCCCACAATCCAACATTTTTTAATAATAATGAAAAAAAAGAGATGTCTTAATTAAAAAAAGACATTACCAAGATACCATTTAGAGTCCTTCAGATTAGTTTCACAACCCCACAAACAAAAAGCTTTTCCCAAATGAGAAGACACCTCTTTCAGGGGAGCAGCCCTAAACCTGACGATGGGCAAACACTTCTCACAGGGAAATAAAAACTGAAAGAAACACTGAAACAGGAGAAGATAAATAAGGATTATGGAGCAAATAATTAAATCAAAAAGTACATTTATGTTGAATTGCACAAAACCTGACTGTTGTGAAGAACAGGGTGTCTTTCACCACGTCTGGGGACTCTGCTAAGGGAATCCAGGAAACAGGAACGACTCGTGGGAAAACAACGTGTAGTTTCAAATGTTGACCAAGTAATCCCAGTTCCTGCCGGTGACAGGATGTAAGAGCTGTCCGATGGCAGGAAGAAGTCTGTGTGCGTTTGTGAGTGTGTAACTAAGTAAGGTAGGGCCGACTCACACAGGTTGTTGGATGATCCCTTCCTCTGCTAGGTGTGTTAAGAGTTGGTGAGAGGTCAGTCCACTGGTGGGAAAGAATGACCAGAGAGAGTTTTTAGGTTTAAGAGGGCAAAAGATTTCCTCCAAAGGGCAGGTTCATGTGTGCTTGTGGTGATCAGGGAGGACAACACAGTGGCATGACTCGGGCATTGAAGGACCTTCCACAGAATGCGGGGAGTATAAAGGGTCTGTTTGGTAGGTTTTAGAGGATTTATAGCTGGAAGCCCTCCATGGGAGCCTCCTGCTGAGGAAAGAGGAACTGCTGATTGGCCTGGTCCACCTGAGGGGCTAGACTGCTGTCTTCATCCTCCACCCCGAAGTAACGCTCAATTAAGTCAAAGGCCTTCTGGTAGATCTCTTGGTTGTCGTGACTCTGGAGGAACTCAATCTTGTCTAGACCTGAACCAGACAAACACTTTGATTACATTACAGGCAACCTTTGATCAGAGCAAACTTATTACCTACAGGTAAAAATTTACTATAATGAAACATTTTGTAAAATGATAAAAAAAAACCTGAGGCTTTGTTTTATCACCTGTGATCGTGTTTGTTGAAATTTGTTGAATAAGGTGAAACAGACTTATTAAAAACCAAAATTTGAACACTAGCTATAACCTAAAAGGAGAAAAATGTTTGCTAAAAGAAATAAAAACACTAGCAACAAGTAAAAGGAGCAAATCACAAGCTAAAAGCTAGTGCTGGGCAGTATACCGTTTTGTACCGAAAACCGTTTTTTATTTTTGTTATGATATGAATTTTCAGAATACCGGTGTAAATAGCCTGAACACGTGCAGAACGTTTTGTCGTGGCCTCCAGTGAACTGTTTCCCGGAGGACAAGTTTCCTCGCAGCACCGCTAAGCCCATTAGCATGCTAACGTTATTGTTGGAACAACTGGCGGCAGGTGGCGTTTCAGCTGCTTATATAGTCTGATGTAAAAAAAAAAACCATCCCATTTTCATCATCGCTGAATGTAGTAAACAACTCTTCAGTGACATGCACGGTTACGCGCTACGTTATAATGGAGACGTTATTGCATGGAGACTCTAGTGTGCTTCTATTGTGAAAAGCCRGGGGCGGAAGTAGTTTTGTAGTGTAGCGGAGTTGACTGGTGTGCAAGGTGAGTCGTCCTTTTAAGTTTTATTAACACGTAACAATAGACCAGATGATGATTTTTCCTCAACACTTCACGATCTGACCTAAATGCGTGATTACTGTCTACAACCAGGCAAAGAAGAAAAAATGTACAAGAGGAAGGAAACAGTGATACAGAGGTGCAGTAAAAGAAAAAAGTCAATAAGCAAAGTTTGTACATTTTATTATCAGCTGACCTGTGAGGAAAAAAAATACCGTCAAATACCGTGAAACTGGTGTAATTGTTGAAAATACCGTGATATAAAATTTGGGTCATACCGCCCAGCCCTACTAAAAGCACTGCAAAAACACTAGTCATAAGCTAACACAAGCAAACAACTAGCTAAAAGAAAAAATACTAAAGCTAAAAGAAGTAAAATACTAGCTAAAAGCCCCCCTAAACATTAGCTATAGGCTAAAAGTAGAACTCTAGCTACAAGTTAATACAAGAAAAATACTAGCTAAAAAGGAGCAAAATACTAGCTACTCCCACCCAATAAAAAAATAAAAAAATAAATAAATAAATAAAACATTAGCTATTAGCTAAAAGTAGAAGAAAATGCTAGCTTAAACAAAAAACAAAGAAACATTGGCAACAACTTAAAAGGAGCAAATCACAAGCCAAATACCCCAAAATAACACTAATTATAAGCTAAAAGTAAAGCACTAATAACAAGCTAACAAGTAAAACACTATCTAAAAAGGAGCATAAAACTAATTAAAAGCCCAAAATCACTAAATTATGAGCTAAAAGTGAAACACTACCTATATGTTATCTACGGCTGCGCGGTATATGCGGTAGACGGTAGAAACGGTATGAAGTTGGCCTACGGTAGAAATTTACCCTCTACCGTCCTATCGTCATTACATAATCACACCTGTGTCAACAGGGCTGCGAGTGCAGAGACAACTGAGCAGGAGTTTGAAATATGAAGAAATTCTAGCGTTTTAAAACACTTACAGATAATAAATCCTAAAATTTCCCCCTCCCGCTGTTGAAAAGTTACGTCGTGTCGCAGGATCATTTCCTCCCTCCCTCTCGCAGCACGTCGCGCCGAGCGAAGCTTTAACAACTGTAGTTTTTCACACCCAATTGTGGGAGAAAAAAAAAAAGTTTTTTATGTATTGTTACCCACAGAGATTATTTAAAAAAAAAAGACGTGGATGTTCATTCTGTCGTAAATCCATCTTGCTAATGTAAAGTCAGTTTCTGCTCTGAGGATGAAGATGATAATGATGAGCACGCAGCAGAGTAGCAGCTGATAAGTTCAGCAGGCAGAAGCTCATTGTTTGGCAGGCAGCTATTAAAGCAAAAATGTTGGATTTAATTAAGATTACATTTTTCTGCAAAAAAAAAGCTCTAAAACTGACATTATCTTAACTTTTTATGATAATTTTCTACCACGATATATACCATTACCTTGAAGGAGTTCAATTTATACTGTGATATGAATTTGAGGTCATACCGCCCAGCCCTAATGTTAACACAAGCAAAACAGTAGCTAAAAGAAAAAAAATGCTAGCTAACAGTTAAAATGAGCAAAACAGTGGCTAAATGCCCCCCAAAACACTAATTATAAGCTATAAGTTGAACACTTAGCTGCAAGTCAACACAATCAAAACACTAGCTAAAGGTTAAAATGAGCAAAACTTTAGCTAAAATGATAAACACTATTTAAGTCATTTTAAGTCAAAACCCATTTCCTGCACAGGCTAAATGTTTCAATGCTTGATGTGTAAAATGATACAAAGTGTGCAGAAGGATAATATGCAGGATAAATAAAGGATGTTTAGTTTGGTCAGGTGAACAGGCAGGTTTTGATGAGCGTGTTTGTGTGCAGGATACCGTAAGCTTCTTCGATGAGGCTACAGTAAGGATTGACGCCGGAGCCGTTGTTCTCCTGCTTGGCCTCCTGCTCACCCAGCCGGAGGATGTTTTCTAACCCGTTCAGAGCAACCTGAACGATCTTTGAGTCCATTACTGTCAGCAGGTCACACAGGGGTTTAATACAGCCCAGAATAACCAGATATCTGAACACAAACACACACAGAGGTCAGACATGTTACGTCTATCTGATCAACACTAAACACTGCTTCTCTTTGGCTTGTTTCTCTTTTCTGCTTGTGCATACAGTATATTTGTCTGTGTGATTATGAATGAGCTGCTCATGTACTTTCAGTCTAACCTGATCTGCTCTGGTGTTCCTCCTGATGTGGCATTGGTTATGGCCCAGGCTGCTTCTTTTCTAGTTCTGAACTCAGCTTTCTGCAGAATTTCAATCAGCACCGGAAAGATGTTGGCATCAATCACAGTCTGTGGAGAGGATTAAAAACAATATGGCTCAAGTTCATAAAGCAGCTTCAGTATAATTACAGGATCCCTAACCGAGTCAACGTTTCAGCCGGCTGTGCTTCTGGATAAAAACTGCCTCTGGTTTACAAATAATACCAGCAAAAACAATTACAGACAGCATCAATGACAAAAACAATCTATCACAACAGATTAAAGACTACTTTTTCAGCAAATTAACTAAACCTCAAATGTTTGAGTCCAAAAGAATGTGTCAGATTTACTGAGTAAAATGGAACAAAGACGTCTCCCATGAATGAGTCACAGCTTAATAAGCACAACACCAATGATTAGTTGTTATTTGAACTCTCCCAAATATGAAGGCTTCAATTTCTGTAGGCTGCCTCCACATCAGTAAGGTGTTATTTCCTGCCTACCTGTATTTGTGCTCGATTTCCTGCTGTGATGTTTGAGATGGTCCAGCAGGCTTCTTTGCGAATCGACTCTTTAGCACTGCTGAGAAGGTGCAACAGGCAGGGAAGAGCTGAGCAGTTTAATACCACCTAAACGCAGAGAAGGGAAATTAAAACGTGCTCTGTTTGGTTATTTTAGTAGAACTGAAACGACTCATTGAATAACGCAACTGCAAAAAATAAAATAAATAAATCCTTGAAGCAGAACTCCATATTTTGTTTGGTTATGGGTTGTCAAAAGGACAGTTATTACTGTCACACTTGCATTCTTACACTACCGACCATCACAAATGTTCTAGTGGGAAAGATGCGCTCTCTCTAAGATTTTATTCTTTGTGTCAAACGCACAGACTGCAAGCCACACCAGTTTTTAAATTGTGTTAATAGACCAAATAAAACCAGAGTTATGATGAATAATTTACAGCATTTTTAAAACATCTGTCACATGAAGCAGATAATTTAGAAAAAAATCATTTCAATCCACAATTTGGTCTCATCCCAATCCCACCAAATATACAACCCCCAACCTCCCTTATGACTGAGGCATGACATTATTTGACGAGCTCCAACAAATCTACAGCAAGAAGAAGAAAAAGACGCAAACATTGAATGAAGATTGGTGGTGATGGAGAGACAGCGAGAGAGGGACAAAGCAATGAGATCGTAGAAGTTTATAATATTTAGTGGACTGGATTTTATAATTAGGGTGCAGTTCAGTATGTTTAGTGTCTTTGAATCAAAACAAGGAGGTGATTTTCAAACGTGGAGCCGCAGACAGAGATGGAGGTGGGAAGCTCAAAGGCAGAGATAGAGGGGAGAAAAGTCTGTGACAGAGGGAGGACTCTGAAAACAAAGTGAGCAAGTCATTATTAGGAAAGAGGACGAGTGCCAAGCAGACTACCGGGGAAATCCCCAGTCTTCCAAGCGGCGCTAATCATAAAGTGCCAAATATTAACCAGCAACAGTTTTTTTGAAGATTAATTACACACGATACAGTTTTGCCCACAGCTAGGGCTGGCACCACAGAACCATAAAAGTTGTTTACATGGAGCTGTTAAAACCCTCTGCTACAATAAATCACAGCTTCATGTCAGCTGAGAGGCATAAGAACAGCAGGTTAACTTCATCTATTCATAAAACACACCAACTAAAAAGCAGTTCAGGTTAGACTTGAAGCGTTTATTGAAAGAAGCTCATCCAACATGGAGTTTAAATCTTATTTGTCACATGTGAAGGTCACAAGTTTCACAAATCTAACTTGTGTTGGTGTAAACGCCGTCTATTCGCCCAAAGTTTGGTTTGTCTGACAGGGGGACTAGAAAAACTCACCTGTGTTTGAATGTCATCTCCAGTGACAATGTTCCCCACAGCTCTCAAAGCAGGAGAGGCCACCTTATAGTCAGAGTGCCTGTAGAATTTAATGAAAGTCAGGTTTTGTTGTTTTATTTTTACTTCATGCGACTGAAAACAACGAGATGAGCTCAAACTTACATGAGGAGCTCCACGAGCCGCCTGCAGACACCCGAGTCAATCACAGCCTGGATCTTGTCATTGGGGCCATCTGAAAGGTACGAGAGAGCCCAGCAGGCATCTGCCAACAAGTCTGGGTCACTGCTAAATAAGAGCCTGGACAGCACCGGCAGACAAGGTGACACCTGGACAGCACCAACACAATACATAATAATTTATGAGCCGAAATAACAAGAACCCAGCATTACCCGTGACGCTCAGACACACTGGGGCAGAAATGTTCAGCCAGAGCAGCTGAGGGGAGCACCACCAGATTTTTAAGTCACAAACAACAGGAAACTATTTTTAATATTTTTTTTTAGATTTTAGTTAGCCTGGCCCTTGCCTTCCTACACAGTTCTGCTCAATTCTAGTTTCCCTTCAGTGCTCCGTCTGGGATTTCTCCCGTAGACAAGGATTTCACTGGCAGATTTTTAGCCAAACCAATCAGAGAACAGAATGTCGATTTTCTGCGCAGTGTCTGCTTGTAGTTTATTTTATCTGGGCCAATCAACAAACAGAAGGCGGAGTTTTGAACGACGTCGATTTTCTGCGCAGTGTCTGCTAGTTTAGCAATGGCAGTGGAGGAAGTGAAGGAAGCCAGTCCATGTTGATAAGGCTTCCAAATTAAATTAAATGTGTCTGATAAAGCAGCAGCTCTCATTTACCGGCATCTCGTTCGGCTTGGTACTTTTCTCCTCTCGGTAGGGTTGTTCACAGCACACGCGATTTCCGGCTAGCTTCTTAGCTTAGCCTCCTTCACAGTGACACTTCAACAGAGGCCACGACTCCAGCAAGAATCGCTTCTCTATAGATAAGTCCTATAGAAAGTCCAGACCCTCGTACGAGGCAAAGTGAAGGACAAGGGTCTGGTTTTTACCAGGCTAGATTTTAGTGGCTTTTTGTCATAACAATTGAAAACATACTGAGTCTCTGCTGAAATTATGACATTTTAAATCTGTTTAGGCTTCTTTTTGTTTATTAAATGATTATGTAGCAGAATCTGTTGTATGATTTTTGTGCACTTTAGATTAGATTAGAATAAAATTAGAACATAGTAAAGATCAGATTATTTATTATGTCCTGATTAGGGATGGGTACCGAATTCGGTACTTTTATAGGCACAGACCGAATTCTGTCGGTACTACAATTAATTTAAAATCAATCGGTACCATGTTTTGGTACCTAAACGCATCATTGTGACCATAAGAATGAAGAGTGTTGAGTTTTCCATGCTCCACCTGAATGCAGCATCACGCAAGAGCGTAATGACGTTGGCAGCCACAACGGAGTAAACATGGCGGATAGAAAACATTCAAAAGTATGGCTCCACTTTTCAAAATGTGATGAAAATTATGCTCGTTGCAATATTTATGACATGAAGTACAAAGCCAGCAGTGGAAAAGACCAAGACCACGACCAAGAAAAGAAAAAGACCACGCTTTTGCCTATCATGACTCCTGATAGGCAAAAGCGTGGTCTTTTTCTTACTGATGTGTGGAGTAGAAACAGGCATTTCAAGCAAAAACACTCTGAATTTATTGCTCCTGATTAAAATAGGTAAAGAAATAAGCATTTTAACAGGTTTAAATATTATTTTACATTTAACTTTAAAGCGACATGCCAAAAAGTTTTTTTATTCATCTTCTCCAGTTGTTTACTTTTATCTTGCACCAACACCTGAAGAAAACACCTAAATGTCCCAGTATCTATTTCTGTCATTGTAGTTTATTTTGAAAGGACATTTTTGTGTAAAACGCCCACCCCTAACTGTTATTCAACTATTTTGCTCAACTTTTCAAATATTCAAAACTCACAGCTTTATTACCTTTTCAAAAGCTGGTGGAGGATTTTTGCCTCTACAGAGATTAGACAGAGCCCACACTGCATTTCTAGTCATGGTCAATCTAGTGGATTTTGTCAGAAGCCTGAAACAGAAAAAAGAAGTAAGATTTGATCAAGAATACATTAAGCTGACACTTGTTTTGAGTCATTAAAGTAATTAAAAATGATTAAACTGATTTAACTTACATTAATAGTGGTGGAAGGATGTTACAGTTCAGGACATAATCCCGACATACTGCACTGTCCCCTGCAATATTCCCCAGTGCCCACACAGCCTGAGGACAATTTTACAATCTTATGTTAAAAAACATATAGACATAAAAAACTTGTTGCAACATGTACGTTAGAAAAATAAATTACTTGTTCTTGAACATCCTCAAATTCTGAGTTCAGTAGATCTATGAAGATGGGCACAGCTCCAGCCTCAATAACCGTCTTTGTCTGCAAGGACGTTCCTGATGCTATGTTGGTCAGAGCCCAAGCTGCTTCAAACTGCAGCACCACAATAAAACATTTAAAAACATTTTAACTATTCAACTTTAACTCATGCAGAATAAATGAACAGAAGCCAGAGATCGCCAAGTGGCATTCTGGGCCTGCTCAACATTTTATTTTAGTTACATTTTATTAACTGACCTGTAGTGTGCAGTTGATGCTCTTCTTCAGAAACTCAACAAATCTCTCCACTACTCCAGGAGTATTTATAACCTCATCAATTGGAGGGTTGGGCTCTGGAACAAAAACAAAAAAAAGTTCAAATTACAAGCAGAGATTTTCATTTGGGCTTTAAGAACAAAAACACAAAGACTGTTCATTAACAAGGAACCATTCAGGTGTTTTTACATCTCTATTTGGGGCATCAATTCAACTTTAAAAAACACCTCATATAAAGTAAACATTCATTTTAATAAATACATGCATCTAGCTTAGGACACCACACTGATATTTTCCTTTTAAATTAAGAAGTTTGTGTATTTATGTTTAAAACAAAATTATATATTACTAAATAAATTACTAGTTTAGTCAGAACAACTAGGTTACATGACAACAGAATTGTGTATGAGTCGGTCTGGAGCCTGGCTCACTCTGGGGTTTACCTTTAGAAAGTAGTTTTCTGAACTTTTGTGTTGTTGCAAGCTGAAGCTCTGGATCTTCTGAAAAAAGCATCTCAACCATGTCTCTGGTAATAACTCCTTCCTGCAAAAGAAAAGCATTTTAACCATTGATCCTTAAGCATCTTAATTTTAACATCGGAGTCTAGACAATTGAAAAGAAACCACAAACAACAAAACATAACATTTAATGTAGAGCTTTTTTCTCTGTGCTTCTCAACAGTCAGTCTGAAAAACAGCCACTCACCGTTACTGGAGAACTTAGGTACGAGTCCACCAGCGGACTTTCAAACATGACTTCTTCTTCGTTGAGAACATCTACATTTCTTCTTTTAAAGAGCTGTGAGAGACCACATAGTGAGACGTCAGATTAAATATTCTCATAGCACATAAACTACAAAGATATATCAGTAAATATAAGAAGTTTAAGACTGTGATGAAGATGGACAGTAAAGCTGAGGGAATTTCTTAGATTTGTCTCGCGGATCGCGGAGCTGGTAGCACGCAACATTGTTTAACATAGTAGCCTTAAACGCGCTCTTGTAGAACGCAGCGTTTGTTTGTTTTACATTGCAGCCTTGAACGCACTCTTCGCAACGTTTGTTTAACATTGCATTCTTGAACGCACACTTTTCAATGTTTGTTTAACATTGCATTCTTGAACACGGTCCAGTCTCGCGAGTTTTGGGTGTTGTGAAACAGCACTCCGAACATGGTCTCACGAGATTAGGGTCACGTTGTTAAAAAAAAATGGCAGCGAGGCGGGAAAAAAATGAACTAAAGACAGCAAATAAAAACTTATTATTTTCACCTGGAGTGGGAAGAGGACTCATATGTAATTCGAGCGCTGCCTTGGCTTGTCCAAAAAGGATAACGTGGAATTGCATTTCTTTCAAAACAATGCACAAACGCTATGAGATGGATTTCCCCTCCTAAGGAAAGGCTGCTAATGCAGCCCCGTATCTGCCTCAACACAAAAAACCGTCTTTCAGCAATGACAAAGTTATGAAAGACGCGTTTGATGCTGCAGACGTGCTTTTCCGTGATTTTAAAAATAAAAGTGAGATTGTGGCTGCTATAAAGACGTGCAGTTGTCCACCAGGATAGATGAATGTGTCCAAATCCATGTCTGTGTTTCAGCTGGACTGCTCTGGTGTTGAAAATGAGGTCTTGACTCTGCAAAATGACATTGGGATCAAATCCAGAGCAACAAGTGGATGGAGAGTTCTGCAGTCTGCTGTCAGAGGAAACGTATCCCACCATCAGAAGAGGTGCTTTGAACTTGATTCAGCTTTCTCTCACATGAAGTCCAAGAACAGATCCACTGATGATCATCTGGAGACCTGCCTGCGCCTCTCATCCATCTCATACTGCCCACCTATGAGACCCTGGCCTCCTCTCAGTGTCAGAAATCCTACTAAGGTAGACATACATTTATTTTTATATAGCTTGCATAAAAAAAGTTGTCTCCTCTAGACTTGTCACAATGTGTCTGAATGTTATTTTTTTATTACATTTTAGACCAGACTAGTGTCTTATATACTGACTGGCACCTTTATTATTTATTTATTTATTTATTTATTTAGCTAGCAGTTTGGGTGTGCCCTTTCTCTACCTAACGTGGCTGCGTGTTTGTGTCTGTTCTGATAGGTGGTGAACAGGTGAAACTCTCTGAATGGCCCTTGGGAGCCAGCAGTCCGGACCAGTGAGCGACTGAGCTCTTCAACACCTGCAGATGACACACATCCTGCATGCTGCACAAAGATTGAGGTTCGAAATAGTTGTTGTTGATTTGTGAATCTGCACTATCGTAAGTCACTTTTTGTAATAGCATAAACGAGAGAGTTTTATATTGTGTGCTTTGACTTTGAAAAAAGTTCAAGCATCACTCTTTTGTTTCTGTCAGGAGTTAAGAAAGAATTTTATCTTTTCCTTTTTTTGTAGGTAAATATATGGTTAAGTAGATAGTTTTGTTTGACAATACTTTAAATTAAATAAAACTAGCAACACATTACATTCTGTTTTATTTACTTTAAAGAAGTGAGGAGTAGGGAGAAGAAAACTTATGTTTTGGACTGGACGAGTAGATCTCGGCAAACTGCCGACTTCAAAAGTAGCTCTTGGTTCAAAAAATGTTGGGCACCCCTGAATTAGACTATATGCCGCTTGATACCACTTATTTATAAGTAACTATTACTACCAGGGTTTTGACTACAGTACATCCCACAGACACTAGGAAGAATCATATTTAAAAGGGGCGATATTATGTGCTTTCCAAGCCTATATTTCAATTTTATACTAAAATAAAGTAACTATGTTAAATTTTCAGCTTATGAAAGAGTTATATTTGTAAAAATCCCCGAAACAATTTACTTCTCATCTTGACAGTTTCTAAACGCCTTGAAATAGGTCTCTGTCTCTTTAAGAAAATCCAACCACTTCGGTCACACCCATTTCAGCACGTAGCCTGCCGGAGTCGCGGAGCGGGGGACTCCACCACAAGGAAGTTCAGCTTAAAAAGACACATCCCAGAGGCGTTTCTGGTCCCAAAAGGCATTTCTGGTCCCCACCTGCCATTTTGCTCCTCAGCATGGCTTCCTAAAAACACTGCAGGATTTCTCAAACATGCATGAATGAATCAAAGCAAGGCTTTGGGCATGTTTTTTTTTAGAGTATAACATGATATAAAACTCAAAAAAGTTGATTTTACATGATATTGCCCCTTTAAAGTGAAATATGAGGTTAGCTGAGAGTCACAGCTCTGGTGGACAGCTTAGCTTACCTGCTGTTCTCGCTTCTGTTTCCTGAGCTGGATGCCCTCCTCTTCTCTCCTGCGCCTCATCTCCTCTGGATTCAGTGCTTTGTTCTTGTAACGGTTCATCCTGTAGTTGTCCTTGGCCGGACTGGCTGATGGCTCTGATAAGAAAAACAAAAGCACATATGTTATAATCAAGACAAGAAGAAGAAGAAGAAGAAGAGAAAAAAAGCTGCCTCATTTGAGGTAAGCTGATTGAAGACCCCACGTGTGTGTGAAAACGTGATGGATTAATAAGTTTGCATTCATTACTCCTGAGTCCTGACTATTCTAATGTTAGCCTGTGATGAAGAAATGACATTCCTATGGACTATTTATAAAACGAGCTCACAAAAACTAGACAACACGGGCTAAAAATACATAGAGCTAAGCTAGTCATCTACCAGTCTGAACAAATATTTCTTCAATAGACTCAAACTGAAGCATTAGTGTAAATTGGTGGCCGAAACAAACTGCCCGTTCTTCGGTTCTGTGCGGTCATCCACCTGCTTGAGGCACAAGGAATGTCTCTGAGTCACCCAGGGGAGCAAAAGAATGATGAGGGAGAACAGAAAAACCTGCCACCAACACAGAACGGTGCCACCTCCTGTGCCAAAAGATTTTCAGTGTATCAGCAGGAGGGGTTCTCAGGTTAAATATTAGAACAAACATCAGAAACTGAGGTCGTGTTTTAGCACACCCATCTTTGTGGAAAGTGTGTAGCAGATGGTAGAGCTGAGGGGATGAACAAACACCTGGTCGTAGCTGGTGGCTCGAACTGATCTATGATGATTGTAGGATTTGCTGTGTTTTCAACTGCACTGCATGCTGGGTGTTTGGGTAAGGTGGAATAAAAATAGCGTGGTTAGGACTGCATGTCCACACTGGCATTTCAGAGCCAACCACTCTGACAGAAAGTATTTTAACCGGGCATGCAAAGCTGAAGAATGGGAGCTGTTAGGAAGAGTTTGTTAACTAGACCAGTCATGCTTGTACAGTGCGATTGCTCGCCACCGAAAGGCAAAGAGGGACAATAATATTTTGTGTTTGTCTTTCAGCGACCAAAGACCTCATGAACCACTGGTCACATTTTAATGAAACTTGGAGATACTCATTAGATATATTTCTACAATGAATACGTTTGAGCCAACTCAATTTACAGTGCAAGAAGAATCTACAAAACACGATTATAATTCAGCCAATTGTACGGCTCTAGCTGAGAGTGTGACACATCACAATATAGCATCAGAACATGCTTAAAAATATTTTTCAAGGTTTGACTCAAACAGCTTTGACTTATTTCACCACATGTGATGATTATAGTTTTAAACTCAGGCGCATAAGGCGATATATAATCCTTTAAAGAATGCTAGGCCTTAAATGATAAATGTTTTAGGCTTGCATGACCAGCTGCTTTTGAGAGATGTCCTACTGGTTGTGAAAACATTTTTACCATCAAGTGTTTTAGACTGAGTGAGACCAAAAATCTTGACAAAAAAATAATAATAATTAAAACTAATGGATCTAAATGTGGAAGAGAGATGGTCTGTACAACAACAACAACAACAACAACAATCATAATAATAATAATAAACTAAGACTAAAGCTTTGAGCTTAATATTTTTAATCAATTAACATAGTGGTCACTGAGTTGTTATATTAGAGATAGACTAAAAAACTGTCTCAACTAGATTTGATTATTGACTTTAAGTAGGGCTGCTCGATTATTGCAAAAATTATAATCACAATCTTTTTGATTGAAATTGAGAACTAGATTATTTAACAAAATTATTCATTCTCTTTGATAACATAAATTTATTGAACATAAACAATGGCTGTTAAATAATTTTTCCCTCAGAGTTTCAAATATTTTTGAAAACATTAGACAAAGTGAAACTTTGGCTGTGTGAAGAGCCTGCAGCATGGTGCCGGCAGTGGCACAGGATTCACAACACAAAGCAGCACATGTGTAAACTGCGAACTTCGATCATTATGTTTTTATCCATCCATCCATCATCCATCCATTTTTTGTACACGCTTCTTCCTTTTCAGGGTTGCGTGGGTCACTGGTGCTGATTATGTTTTTATGATAGTTGAAAACCCAAATCATAATCAAGATCAAAATCCGATTAATTGCCCAGCCATACTATTTTTTTTTCAACAAAATGAATTGTTCTCTTTTAACATTAGCATACTTTCCTGGATCAAACTGTAAATGTCTGCTGTATTAGTAATAGAATATAACTTAAAAATAAGTAAAAATGTCATCACAAATCCTTTTGTGACCTCAAGTTATCAAATATCACACTGAGTTTGTCTTAAAGACAGAACTTACTGTTATACAAGCACAATGCTATCAATTAATTTTTATGAATTGATTCACATTTTAAGCAGTTACAACTGATTAATGGTTACATTCCTAGCATCAGTTTATCAGTATCTATGATCCAGTAAGAATGCTGGGCTAAAAAAAAAAAGGAAAGAAAAAAAGTCATGCCTAATAATGAGATGGAATGGTCTGGAAAACACAGGACCTCTCAGCAACCTCAACATTACAACACTCTGACTCATGAGCTTACAATAAACACAACCACAATCTAAGTAATCGAACATGTAGCAGTTTATGTTACTCTCTAACTGCTAGTTTGCAACTGAGTAAAAAAAAAAACCTACTGACAAACATGACTATTTTAAATCCTGAGTGTTGTGTAACAGTGGGTCTAATGAGTCAGGCTGACTGACAGCTAATTGCTAAGCTAAGCTATACGCGCTAGCACAAATTTGAACTTGTTTGAAATTAGCTCTTTGAATTAAGCAATTTGAATCCTTTTAAGCTGATGGGTGATGCTTGACAATAAATCGTTCAACGGCACTGGTCAGAACAGCAGCCTATCATATACAAAAATTATAGATAAACATAGTTAGCATTAACGCACATGAGAACCTCCTCCTTGCTGTCACTTGGTAACATTTGTTTTAATATAAATAACTGCATGAGCAGATCGGACAGACAAGTGAAAAGATCACGATAATGACAGGGCGTCAATACGATGTTAATTTTAGTCTAAAAATGTGCTTGAGGCCAAAAAATAGTACAGCTCGTTGCTAAGCTATTTAGCCAAGTTTTTTCAAGTTAGCTCAGAAATAGCATTGGTTGTTTTCCGTAGTTGAAACCATCTGGCTGCAATTTGACTGATTTGTCATGACGAAAGAGAAATATCCCAAGGAAAAAACACTATGGAACAGTTTGATAAACAACAAAAACGCAACCCTGCCCAACTGCGTACTGACATTAACTAGCTCTTTAGCTAACAAGTTAGCCGAGTAGCTAAGGAAAAGTCACGGAATGATTGCATAATCGTTGTTTTAGTCGGGTGTTTTTAACCTTCAAGTAAATAAACAATCCGAAATGACACGCCAAACAACTTACCCATTATGTCTGGTGTTTTTGAGCGTATCAACTTGTAAAGATGTTTGTCAGTTTCAAATCCCTTTTCAGCTGCTAGCTTTCCAGAAATTGCTCCAGTAAGCAATATGTCGACCGGAAATGTGAAAATATAAAACCTACTTCCCACCACCAGAGGGTGCAGCAGCCCCACAAAACACCACGTTAGTGCAACACCCAGTCAAAAAACAACAAAACCAAAACGCAAAAAGGACTAAAAAAAAAGAGGGAGCTCTAGACATACCTTGTGGTGTACTAGTGTTCAAGATGTGCATGTTTGTCCTCTTGTTCTAATGTTCTGATGCCTGCAGCTCAGTATGGGCAATGTTTGTAATGGCATGTCTCAGTGTTAATAACTATAGTTACGTATTAGCATACTTTTGCAGCACAGACAGTTTGCCACACACTTTACCCTCTTCATACTCTAAAGTAAAGATAAAAAAATACCCTATAAAAGCAGATCTAGATTTTCTGTGACATGTTTAGACTAGTTCCAATAATTCAAAGAACTATGAATACATTTTACAATATATATATATATATATAT